TTCAAACAAACAAAATTTTCCTCTGGAAGTTTGCTAGCAAACGTTTAAGAGATATTAAATTACAAAATTATATAAGGAAAATTATATAATTATAAAGAAAATTATATAATGAATAAATAATGTCTAAGTTATTACTTTACAATAATCAAAATGTAATTATTAAAAGTTTTGTTCAAAATAATAGCCTCCAACTCTGAGACAGTATTAATTGCACTTATCGATGAGAGAACAAATGGCTGACTGACATTGTCTATATAAATTTCTTCGCACGCTTGCATCTTCCACTTTAATAACTGAAAATCATTAATGGATACTTCATACAAATTCAAGAGATTCAATAATTAATTCAAGAGATATTTCAATATCATTTATTTTCTGTCATTCTGTAATCTAAGATCTTTTATTAATATCTCTTAAATTTAAACGAAGCGTTTGCGAGCAAACTTCAAGAGGAAAATGTTCTTTATTTTGAGATCCTGAATTTTATGTTGGTAGTTTAATCCAGTAACACACACACACACACACACACACACACGCGCGCGCGCGCGCGCACGAACGCACGCACGCACGCACGCACGCACGCACACACACACACACACACACTATATATTGCTCTGTATATTGCTCTTTTGCTACAATAATAAGACAACTCCAAAAACAAAATTTTTCAGATAATAAGTTTGAATGTTTTAAATCATTAAATCGTTAATTTTGTAATTATTGGGTTGTCCGGAAAGTTCGTGCCGATGTTGAAGGAAAATTGAAACGCAGAAAATTTAAATTTTAGTATACATTTATTAAATTATATAAGTTAGTCGGCACGAACTTTCCGGACAACCCAATAGTATTAAAATTTAGTATTTTAAAATGCAATTTTGATGTAATTACTGATTATAATGAAATATAATTATGTTTTCTAAAAGTATTTTTTTCTTTATGTTTTTATGTCGTTATTGTAGTAAATAACAATATATTTTTGCTACAAATGTATATTGTACATATTATATATTTTTAATTATAAAAAGTAATAAAAAATAATCAACAAAAGTGAAGCGTTTGATAAAAATTATCTGTTACATTATAAAGATTACATTATAAAGATTTGATCACTTTATTAAAACAGCACATTGCACTTTATATTGATTTATCAATGCATCTTGAATAGCATTTGTTTTGTCGCAATCAATAGTGCATTTTTTACAACGGTGAGGCACAATGGGATCAATTGCAACGGCATTATTACGTATCGATACGACAAGTTGTCTGCCAGCAAAATGTCATCCATTTGGACATTCACTAACCCACGGTTTTCGACAGAATCGATTTACCGAATTCTGTCTCACGCAATATCCGCTTGTTGTCACAAGCGAGGTGTATTTTATAGGGGATGAGTTATGCACTGTTTATAAAAAATATTATTATTCCGAAACGTACGCGAATGTATTCGAAAACAAATAATTCTGGTATTTGAAGTTGGTTTTTTTTTTTTATTTTAATTTCAGAATTATACAATCTAAGAAATGTTTAACAAATAATTCATTTTTGGATTATTTTTTCGATAGTTGTTTATCTCTGCAGTATATATTATTTCTTGTCTCTGTTATAATATTTCTTGTCTCTGTATTTAACATTTATTGCAAGATATATGTTTCTGTATTACAAAATGATTTTTTCGAAAAACTTTCTATTTTCTAATCATAATTAAAATATTTTTGTACACACAAAATATATATTTTATTAAAAATAAGTCATCTCTTATGAAGAAAATAATATTTCCAAAGCACAATTTTCTTTTTCTTTCCGAGAATATTACGTCATTAATCACGAAACACATTCTTGTTCTTATCTCGCTCATCTTTTTCTCGACGTGGTAATTCTTTTGACATATCTCTCAGGGACTCATTGTACTATTCCTTCGAGCATTGTTTCACTTTTTTCTAATACGAATAAAAGTATCGCGCGGTGGAAGAAACGTGCAAAACGGCATTTTATCCTGAACGAGTTGTACCGGTTTAAGTGTTAAGATTCACGGAGAATGCAACAGTTTGTTGGCTTTTCCCTTTGGTCCTTCCAACCTGAATTTTCGTGCCTGCAATATTTACGTGTACGCGAATGTTCACTGGGAACGAGTCGGTGAGCAGTGGATGGAATATAGAAGCGGTGTGAATCTCAGTAGCTCGAGCCGAGAATACGGTGTTTCATTTAACTAGAGTTTACACGATACAGCACAAGTTAGTTCACCGCGCACTTATCACGATACGACTTTTTCTTCGAAGAGTCTTTCTTCCTTCTTGCCTCTTTCTTCCGGAGGAATTGGTCAAGTGACGCGGCATAGATCGTCTTCGCAGTGCAAAAAGAAGAAAAAACCAACGAGCATCTTTGTTGTAAAGATTGCATAGTATATTTTATAATTTATATATTTTAATGGACAAATAATTTAATTGTTGGAACTTCGTTCGGGCAGATTCCAAAACTGGACATCGATCGCTACGTTAGTAAGATACAGTAATACTGGATACACTAAGGTTGCACCAACGTTACTTTGACTTTAAGCAAGATTTAAAACTCTCTCTCCGTCTCGTTTTAAAGCGAAAGAGAAAGACAAAGACAGAGTTTTAAGCCTTGCTTAAAGTCAAAGTAACATTGGTGCAATCGAGCCTAAATAAGAAATGAACACACAATGTAGATCTAAAACATCGACTTCTTGAAAATGTACTTAATGTATAGACTTGCAGTTGAATAAAAAATGAAGATAAATATCGAAGTATTGAAAAGAAAAAATACATATTTTTAATATTGAGTTAGTTTGTATTAATATTAATTAGAAAATATTAATCTTAAGGGAAAATATATTAAGATTATGAAAAAAAAAGTATATGTTATGATAATTTAATTTTTTTCCTGACATTTTCCCAAAATTAAACGCCTCGGGACATCGTTTAATTAATTTACCACGGGTATGCTGGAATGTATCTGTATATGCTGCCTACTAATTACGTGACATAAAATTGGTTTTAATTAAATAATGTACTGTTAGGTGAGTTTGAGAGTGAAGACAGAATGGAGCTATAGAGAAGTATATACTATATGTATATATATATTTATTATTATACATAAGTATAGTCATGTGAATAATAATAAATAATTAATAGATTTTTTTGCCATTAATTACTAATAGTAATCGCAACTTGAGATTGTATTGAATATTTTAAAATTTATTAATATAGAATAATGAGAAGAATATTATTTATACATTTACAATTCCGCTTTTCGTATATTTTAAAATTTTATTTTTTATATATTATCATATATAATTTTTTAGTTTGATCAGCAAAATCGTCTTTTGTTCAAAGAATTTTCTTTTTTTAATTGCAATTATTATCAAAAAGCACTCTTGAAAATGAAATGTTTAGAAATCTCATTATTCGATAAATATGGTAAAAAGAATGAGCAATCAGTAAATTTTAAGAAATTAGTAAATGAGAATGGGAAAATCTATTTAATAGCAAGTTATCGATGATCGTGTACTGTCATAGCTGCAATAATCTGATTGTAAATAATGAAGGTTAATTACTGAATTCCGATATTGGTAACACGCGTAACGCTGGCTAATTCTGAACAGGTGGTTGTAGTACTGTAGAGGTGTGCACGGTTAGGTGTGTATTACTCGTCATAATACGGATGCGTTATGCGTACAACGCGGACGTACAAATGCGTGTACGCAGTAGATGAGATTCCATTATATATGGTTACATTGTGAATCATTGTCCGACCTGAATGGGAATTGATTCGACGATTGATATGTGCCTCGCGTCTTATCTACTCGCTTGACTTTGCGAGTTATCAGATATGCATCACTGTCAATCACATGCATGAACTGTCTGCTCATCTGCAATAAGCTTTATCCTATTTAATACGCGATGTATGGATAGTTATTTTTGCTTCAATTTCGAGATATGTTCCATTTAACAATTCGATTTTTCACATATCCGGTGAAGCTACTGTATTACAAAATCAATTTTTTTGATCATATTTCAAATAAAATAACATTCAGAGAAAAAGATAGTAGTAACAATTGTAAAAGTGACAGTTATACAAGTTTTATATGCACACAAAATTATTATATATATTATAAATTAATGTACATATATATAGTGGAAAATAAATTATTTTATGGTTACAATAATTATAAAATAGTTTATTCAATTATGCGCGCGCATGTGTGTGTGTGTGTGTGTGTGTGTGTGTGTGTGTGCGTGCGCGCGCGTCTATGTACATTGATTCTACATATGAAACTTAATCGGTTTATAGTTAGTAGTTACAGTAGTTAACATCTCATCTTTTTTCTAAGTAAAGAAGTGAGATTTTGTTATTATTTGCGTTAAAAAACGAAAAATTCTTCATCACTGACGTTTTGTGCTAAACGTATTTCTTTTGAACGTGTTTCTCTCAAAAGGTTTGGATATACGGAAACCTTTGGTGCTCCGTGTGGCTTGCGGTCGACGTTTGGATGTGCACGGCATCGATATTGAACTTATGCGCCATCAGCTTAGATAGGTACTTGGCTGTGACCAGACCAGTCAGTTATCCTCAGGCAAGTACTCAGCATTCATGGGAATGATTATCCTAAGGAGATCAGAAGCACATTATGCATCAATTTCGCCACTTAGTTCAACGCGTTTGTTCGATGATAATATTTCTTATTGATTAAGGGCAATCACAAAATGATATAAGCTGTATAACCATAGATATAGGTTTGAGACCGCTGAATCAATAAACATCTAACATAAAGATGCTATGCTGATTTACATAAGATGCTTATTGATTTAGGCGCCTTGCTATGGTTGTTCAGCTTATGTAATTTTGTGTGTGATGGACACCTAACACTGAAATAAAAGACACACTGAAATGAAATGAAATGAAAAAGAAATTCTGTAGAGTTAACTTCTTTAAGCTAACAATAAAATCTTAGAATAAAGATCAGGACAGACCTTTGCATAACGCATAATTCATAAAACATAAGAAAATCAACCAATCAAAGTTTTTATTTCATGAAAAGGAAAGAAATGAAGGTTGATTCATTTTCTTATGCATTATGCGTTATGCGTTATGCAAGACTATGTTCCCACCCTTACTTTCAAATTTTTATATTTGCTATTCGAAGTATTTTATTCGCAATACTCAATTTCAGATGCATTGATTTTTCGTTTTAAAAAATTGAACTAATAATAAAATGAGAAATATAAACTTGTGCGCATCGAAAAATAAAGAGAACAAAGTGATTACAAGTGAAGGAATGTAAATTTCCTCTTCAAAAGGAGGAATGCAATATATCGACTTATCGCATTAAGTTATCTATGCAATTATCGCGCTCCTGATGCAGATTTTCTCGTTAATTGCTTCTTTTTTCTTCATTTCCATAAATCCAGCTTATGTCGACGAAGAGGGCTAGACTGCTGGTAGCTACTGTTTGGGTTTCGAGCTTCGTTATCTGTTTTCCACCTCTAGTGGGCTGGAAGGACAAACGGGTGCGTACTAGCCACAGCTAATCCGCCTTCGCGCTGTTATTTCGGGACGATTTTCAATCGACGTCTGATCGATCCTGGCCGGATTTAATCTGCACGCGTTTTTAATCGCTTCTTTGTTCTCGTAGTCGCATACCACGTACAATGACACGTTTCCTCTATATGGCCCATCCAACACCACCACTATACTCGTGCCAATGAAGCCATGCCCATGGATCTGCGAACTGACCAACGATGCCGGTTACGTCGTTTACAGGTAAGTTCCTCAAAGACCCTTCTCATTATATACATATTGGATCGCGTAATATTAATAGTGAGAAATTTACATAGATACTTTTTTCTTTGTTTTATATATCGGGATGTATTACCTTTTTATTATCCAGCTAAATACCAGAGTGTCATAAAAATGGCAAAATGTGTCGGGAAAAATTCTTTTAATGTTTTTCCTGTAATAAAGAGATTATTCAATTTATCGGCGTAAAATTAATTTTAATATACGTTATAGAAATACAGAATACGTTGTCAAAATACAGAATAAAAATTAAATGACATCTTTTTATTTAGATATATGAAAAGCATACACATATATATATATATA